TGGCAGTCCAGTGGTTAGGACTCCACATTTTCACTGCTGTGGGCCTGGATTCAATCCCTTTTGGGGAACTAAGATCCCATAAACCAAGTGGCATGGCCAAGAAATAAAGGGCTAAAGTAGTCTAGATGGTCTGGAAGAGCAAGAGAAGGAGATGTGTTTCTAGATATCAAGACTTATAATAGGGAGGGATAGATACTGAGTTTGGGATTAACATACACACAATACTGTATATAAAATAGATACAGTATTTCTTATTGTATCTATGAACCTACTGTATAACACAAGGAACTATATTCACTATCTTGTAATAACCTATGGCAGAAAAGAACCTGAAAAAGAATGGTGGTGGTGGTGTAGTCGCTAAGTCGTGTCCAACTCTTGTGACCCCATGGACTGTATCCTGACAGGTTCCTCTGTCCATGGAATTTTCCAGGCAAGAATACTGGAGAGGGTTGCTATTTCCTCCTCCAGGGGCTCTCCCCAACCCAGGGATCAAACCTGGGTCTCCTGCATTGCAGGCAGATTATTTATCGACTGAGCCACAAGGGAAGCCCTTGTGGGGCTTTTTTAAAAATTAATTATAGTTGATGTACAAAGCTATGTTAGTTTCAGGTGTATAGCCAAGTTTTATATATATATAAACTATATCACAACTATGGGCTTCCCTGGTAGCTCAGTTAGTTGGTAAAGAATCTGCCTGCAATGCAGGAGACTGCTTGCCAACACAAGAGACGCAAGTTTGATCCCTGAGTCAGGAATATCCCCTAGAGAAGGAAATGGCTAATGGCTACCCACTTCAGTAATCTTGCAGGGAAATCCCATGGACAGAAGAGCCTGAGGGCTACAGTCCATGGGGCTGCAAGAGTTAGACACAACCGAGTGACTAAATCACAATCACCACCACATCACAACTATATCTTATTTTTTTAAAAAAGGATATATTGTATAGCATGGGGAATTACAGCCATTACCTTGTAATAACTTTTAATCAAGTATAATCTGTAAAACTGTTGAATCCCTATGCTATACAACTGAAATTAAAACATTGCAAATCAACTATATGTCAATAAGAAATTAATATTAAAAAAACTTTATAAAGCTGCAGTAATATGATAACATGGTATTAGCATGGGGACAGACAACTAATCACAGGAGCAGAAGAGAAAATCCAAAATAGACTCATGTAAATCAGACACTTCTTAGATGACAAATCAAAGAGGAAGAGAGAGATTTTTTTCATTTATAGAAAAATAGAATATTTTAAAAGAGAAAAGCAAGTGGACCCCTTTCTCATACCATACCACACACACATAAAAATCTGGAGGCTTTTTATACATAAAATCAATTACATATGGTTTGTGAGTGCCCAGAAGACAAAATTAAGAACAATGGATGAGGTCAGAGGGATGGATTTTGGCTCAGTCTAAGTAGGAAAACAATCGCTTCAGCAGCATTAGCTGTCCTGGGAGATTATGTCCATTACAGAAGGCATTAAAACACAAATTGGATGACTGCTTCTCAGTGAAATTATAGCTGAGGTTCAAGCATCAGAAATGTTTAAGTTTCTAAGCAACCTCTGTTGCTATAAATACCGAGGGGGAACAATGTGAATTTCTTTAGCCTGGAGTAGCTGAGGAAATTTTTTTGGCAACTCAGAAAAGTATGAAAATAAGACAAACACTGGTGGTGCCTCTACACTTATTACACTTCAGTCAGATAGAAGCACATTTTAAAAATGAGTATCTCAGAAAGGCATGCACCATATTAGGAAGGGCAGCAAGACATGGTGAGCACCAAATTTGGATTCCTGCTCTGATCTCCCCCAAATTGAAGCTTTTAGGGGCTTCTCCGGTGGTCAAGTGATTAAGACTCCCTGCTTCCCATTGCAGGGGACATGGGTTTGATTCCTGGTCTGGGAACTAAGATCCCAAGTGCCATGTGGACATAGCCAAAAGAAAAAAAAAATTGAAGCTTCACAGATAATTTCATCTCAGGCCTCAGTCTCATGTGTGAAGCAAGGCAGTGATGTGTCTTGGCAAACTACACTACAACAATGTTCGGATAAAAACCTCATGGCAATGTGGAAAATTAATACCTCCCTCTGAATCAACATTAAATGAAAACAAATCCTTAGTTTCATAAGATGCCCAGCTGTTGTTACGTGAAATGTCTCTAAGAGCCAACATAAGGGATTTTTATTTAGCAAGTTCTCAGAATTGTTATTATCCTCTGTGGTAAGGGATTTGCTGAATTACAAAATGAGCGTGACATTGCAGAAAGAATAGTTACTATCTCTGCTGGTGGGCTTCAATATGTGGATATAGTACATCATATATAGATATAAATACAGACTCAGATGCAAATTCCCACAGAATTATATTCATTCTCTTAGACTAATATCTTACTTCATTGACTAACTTACAGTTATTTGACTGAGGGAGAGACAGCTTGCTGGTAATCACTACTTCTTTAAATGAAATGATTTCTTTTCAGTCTGGCATTTAAAATCTCTCCAAGTAGTAGCTCCATAAGATATTAATAGGTATTTCCCAGAAAAAGAGGATATGTGGTTAAATATGCCTGGAAATGATTGATGGAACAAAATTAAAATTGTGGGGTTTTTTTTGCAGGATATTTTAGAAATTTAGGATGTTGATGTCCATAGTCAGTCTCCAAGAGAAGGATATAATATGTAGCATTTCCCTTGTTCGTTGCTATAGGAGCCTATCATGAAGAGTATTAGTTATCTGATGTGGGTAACATGGTGGGTATATAGTGCTAAGTAACAAACGGTCCCAAAACTTAGTTGCACTAAAAAAGCATTTATGGGACTTTCCTGGTAGGTCAGTGGCTAAGACTCTGAGCTCCCAAGGCAGGGGGCCCAGGTACGATCCCTGGTCAGGGAATTAGATCTCACAGGCCCCAACTAAGAATTCACATGTGCCAACTAAGAGTTTACATGCCACAACTAGAGTGAAGATCTTGTGTGCTGCAACTAAAACCCAGTGCAACCAAACAAATAAATTTAAAAAAATTTAAAAAAAAAGCATATATTCTATCATAGTTTCCGTGAGTCAGGGGTCAAGCATGGCTTAACTAGGTTCTCTGGTTCAGGATCTCTCATAACCCAAGAGTCAGCTGGGGCTTTTGTCATTGCAAAGCTGAACTGTGGAAGGAGCCGCTTCCAAACCCTGGTAGAGGGCTGTCAGCAAGATTCAGTTCCTCACAGGCTGTTGGAACAAGACTTCGTTGTAGGTTGGCGGTTCCCCTTCCAGCTGGGTTTTCCACAGCTTAGCTCACAAAATGGTAAGCAAGCGAGAGGGTAAGAGAGCACAGGCAAGATGGAAGCCAGAGTCTGTGATAAAATCTCAGAAGTAATATACCATCACTTTTGATTAGTCAGAGCAGGGGTCAGTAAACATGCTCAGCAGGCCGTATTTGGCCCACAGCCTATTTTTGTAAACAGTTTTGTTGGAAGACAGCTAATCACATTTATTACATATTGACTGTGGTGACTTTTGTAGTATAATAGTAGAATTGAATAATTGGGAAAGAAACAATATGGCCCACAGAGCTAAAAATATATTACTACCTGGCCCTTTACAGATAAAGTTTGGCAGCCCCTGCATTAGAAACGATTTTAGCCCACACTTGAGGGGAGGAGTTTCACAAGGGCAGGAATACCAGGAGGCTGGGGTTGTAGGGAGTCATTTTAGAAGCTGCCTATCATATAGTGCCTGCCAACAGGTAGAAAGTGTGAGTTGCTCAGTCATGTCCGACTTTTGCAACCCCATGGACTGTAACCCACCAGGTTCTTCTGTCCATGAAATTCTCCAGGCAAGAATATTGGAGTGGGTTGCTATTTCTGCCTCCAGGGGATCTTCCCAACCCAGGAATCGAACCCTCATCTCTTATGTCTCCTGCACTGGCAAGCAGGTTTTTTACAACTAGCACCACCTGGGAAACCTGCCAACTGTTATGGACTTGATAAGTATTTGCTGAGTGAGTAAATGAGTAATTCTACCACATCTACCAATTTTCTAAATGCAAGAGCTGAAAGGAAAGTTACTAACCAAGAAAAAGCCCAATTCCTTCACTGATTATTAGGGCCTGACTATTGCATCACAACTGTAACAACTTATCTACTTGTGTGATCTTATTAGTAATGTCCATCATTGTGTCAAGTGAGTTAGGTGGTAAAATAAGCTTACAATCGAATTCATATGTAGATAGGACAGTTTTTTTTTTTTTATGACATCAGCAACTGGAAGATAGCATACTTATTTGAGGTGAGAATTCACTCTGGGGGCAAGAATAGATATTGTGAATTATAATACACAATAAGGCAGCTACAATATATTCTAATACCAAGAGAGACATGAAACCTGAGTACAAAATCAAATTCTCATCCATTTTTTCATCTTCTCAGTGTCCTTTCTCCAAAAGCCAAACACTGTACCATAAAGATCTCCCTTGATCACTTAGGATCTCTCTTGTTTTTACACAAAGCAGTGTCACTCTTAGAAGAGGGAATATCCTGCTGCTGCTTCACTTACAGCCTAGCTTTTCCACTGAATTGAAACTCCAGCATGGGTGACGCAAACTGGAGAACTCCTTCTTACTTCACTTGGTAAAACAAGGGCTCTACATATTTCTAAAGTTTGATGGAAAAGGATAGTAAAATAGGAGATCCTAGTCTGTAGGTCTTCTCATGTGTAATTGGATCCAACAAACATAATAAGTAACAAAATCAAAGTGGGGAGAGGAACATGTCATAAATGCTGTATCTATATCCTTTTTTTGAATAGCTACTCTTAACTGGCATGGTGCTAGTAAGTCTCTTTCCTACACATAAGCTCATATATTTCTCACATTCACCTTGAGAGTTTTATTACAGACAAGAACAGGGAAATCATCTATGGTCACACAGGCAGTAATTGGCTATCCAATTTAAAGATTATACTGGATTTTCCCTTTAATTTGATATATGACTATTAAGGGTTAATTTGGAAATATACTTTCTATTCCGTGACTGACTCTTCTTTATAACTGACATCATATCAATGAGAAACTTAGCAACTGACACTGGTACTTCCATGCTTAGTGAAAGAAAAGGGGGTGATTCGTATGACAATCAAAGCCAGACTAAAGGGTGAGATGGCTGGACAATCGCCAGTCCATACAGAGAGTCCATCATCACTGGGATAAATCAGAACCATGTTGTCCTTAACTATGTTTCCACAGGTGACTGGTTACACAGTTGGAGGAATGTAAATTACTCTGGTTCTGCTCCACAGGACAAGACACTGGCTTGGAGTGGAAACCGAAAACAAAACATTGTTCCCTGGCACAGAGGTACCTACATTTGAGTACTTTGGCAATTCACACTGCGAGTTGTACAATGATTCATTTATTTTATTATCTAAATTTTAATTCTTTAAATATGCCTCCTCTTGGGTTGCATGGTTCTAAAGACTGCAGAAAAGAACAGGTGTAGAGAAAAAGTGAGTGTGATTGAAGAAAAAATAGAAATGAAAGATAATTCTAGTTAAATGTCCAATATGCAGGGCATGTAAAAACAAGACACCTGAATGTCAACTTGTATATAATTTTTATTAAATGCACAAATAAATAGTGAAAATAACCGCATGCCTTGAGGAAATCTGCCCGATTAACAGCATAGAAGGGAGTAGGAAATACCACACTGTGGGCCAAAACCTGCTCCTCAGTGGCTTCGGTAGGGTCCTACGCTTTTCGACCCTACAGACTGAAGCCCGCCAGTCTCCTCTGTCCATGGGGTTCTCCAGCAAGAATACTGGAGAGGGTGGCCATGTCCTCCTCCAGGGGATCTTCCCAAGTCAGGGATTAAACCTACCTCTCCTGCGTTGCAGGCAGATTCTTTACCCTGAGCCCCCGGGGAAGCCCATGAGCCAAAACTGGACATATTCAAATGATGAATTTGCTCACTGATAGAGAAGTTTAAAGTTATAAACATTAAAATTATAACAAGAAGCGACTGTACTATTTAAATTCATTTGAGAAAAATAACCAATTATTGTTCTAAAACTTTCTAGTCTCAATCCTTACTTTCTTTCATGGAAATAATGGGTTTTAGAGCTTGTTTTTTGAGGCTCTTATGGTGCACAAAAGTCAAAATGGGCTTAAAAACAATTATACGGGTTGAGCTGCACTTGAATACATGCGACATCTGGATATTCTGTTCTGATATATGGCAAGATTTGTTAATAAGTAGAGCGTAAGTACTTTTAAAAGGATAAATATAAGTACCATGATGTGATCCTATTGACCTGTTTACGAATATAATCCTATTCATCAAATCTTAGCATATTAACTTTCCTGAGCTATGCAGTTCTAACCATGAACTGTACTCTCGGGTTCTTTGTGTTTCTCCTTTGCTACCCCCCGCCCACCCCTCCCGTTCTCCACATTTCTGACTCCGCGGGAGGAAAAGGGCGAGAACGAGCCAACGAAGGGTGGGAGTCGTTGTGAGCGAGTTCAGGATTCTACGAAAATCAGTGTTTTCCGAAGTGCTAAAGAAAGTGACTTCATCTCTACCCCAAATGCGTGCGCTGCAGAAGCTAAGAGTTTACTGGCAACGGCCCAGTTCAAACCTGACCTTAGGCAGGGACAGTTTCATTCCTCCCAAGCGCCAATTCTGGGCGCCGGTTCCTCAAGGTCACGGAAGGGGAGCCCAGCGCGGGCGCAGCTTAGGGTCTTCGCGAGGCTGCACCGGGAACTAAACCGCCCAGGCGCTAGACCCCGACGCCCCCAAGAAAAGTTGTGCGGCCCAGAGGCCAAGAGCTTTACCTCCAGGAGGTGGCGGAGAGAGCCGGCTCCTGGCGGTTGCCTCCTCTTTGGAGCGTGGAGGGGCGAGAGCAGGACGCTGGCCGCAGCCCGGGGAAGGGCCTGGGTCTGCAGCGCGCGGTTTCCATAGAGTCCCGACAACACGGCCCGGCCCCGCCCCGCCCCGCCGGCGACTCTGCAGCATCCGCATCCACAACCCGCAGCCCGGCCTGAGCGGCTGGAGGGGCCTGAGCGGCTGGAGGGGCCGGCTGGCCAGCTGGGGGCCGAGAAGCCGGGCGGACTACACCCCCATCATCAGGGCTGCACCGGATTCTGGCCAGGTCGGCGATCCTGCTCCTTTGTCACGCTCCAGGGAGTTTGTGACAGGATCCCAGGAGTCGCTATAGTCCTAGAAGCCCCTGAAGACGCAGAGCAGGGGAGCCAAACCCCAACAGGAGACTTGGATACTGAAGCCAGTGTTTGCTTGGTCTCCATTGTCAGTAACTTCAAGGCTGTGTGATGCAAACGGTGGGATTTCTTAATCTTCAGTAAATCCTCCGAATATTTTAATACTATTGCCAATTTTCACATTATACAAGAGGTACCAAAGCCCAAACAATATCCTTCTTGATAAGTTTTTATTGATTCTGGTCAAAATGCCTTTAAGTATTTATTGTGAAGCCTTTTTTTTTTAATATGTAGATGAACAGTTACTGCCAAGGAAAAATGTTCACAACATGAAAAGTCTGTTAGAAAACTATATGAATTGTGCTACCTAATTTTTGTAATTTTCCAAGTCCCCTGGTGGCTCAGATGGTAAACAATCTGCCTGCAATGTGGGAGACCTGAGTTTGATCCCTGGGTCGGGAAGATCCCCAGGAGAAGGGAATGGCTACCCACTCCAGTATTCTTCCCTGGAGAATTTCACTGACAGAGAAGTCTGACGGGCTACAGTCCATGGGCTCACTAAGAGTCAGATACTACTGGGAGACTACACTTTCACTTTAATTTTTGTAAATAAATGTTTAAGAACTCTGGAAGTATGTGAACAAATGTTAAATGGTTTGCTCTGGTAGTACTTTTTAAAAATCCAATTTTAAGTAAAAAGTTTCTACAGTAAACATGTGTGTTAAGTCGCTTCAGTTGTGTCCGACTCTTTGAGACCCTATGGACCGTAGCCCACCAGGCTCCTCAGTCCAAGGGATTCTCCAGGCAAGGATACTGAAGTGGGTTGCCATTTCCTTCTCCAGGGGATCTTCCCGGCTAAGGGATTGAACCTGTGTCTCTTGCATCTCCTGCTTCTCTAGGATCACCTGCATTGGCAGACAGGTTCTTTACCACTAGCGCCACCTGGGAAGGTAAATACATAACAACTGTATAATAATAAATTTTATTCTAACTAGGTTTTGTTCTAATCCAAGTACCTCATGTTTTTTTGCTGTTTTCTTTTAACATGTTTAAGTTGTGTGAAAGGATACAAATTAAATAAACTAAAAATTTGTCACCTGAGACCCACATAGAGTTCCTTGACACAAAGGACAAATGAACCAACTGAACAAACAAGGTCAATCTACTGCTCTGTCACTAAGCCACAGGAAACAGCTTTTTCTTTACTCTGTCTCAGGACTTATCCAAGAAAAACATGTCAAATGACAGAGTTTCCTTTTGCTATGTCAGACCTAGGATGCTCTTTCCCCTGGGATCCCTATCCGCTTATCCCAACAGAAAAGTTTTGAGGGTTGCATTTAATGTTCTGGTGCATTTTTAAAAGGGGTATTAAAAAGATGATTAGATAAAGTGACCAAAATTCTTTCAACTCAGGATGCCAAAATTTACTGAAATTGAGATTTTTTAAAAATAGTGTTCAGTGGGTCCCTGCCCTCCCCCATCTCCATTTAGGGGCTTGTTTCTGTGGCCTGGAAACAAGGTGGAAGAAGCATGGGCCTATTCTACAAGGTGAAGGCAAGTGAGCTATAAGTGGATAAACAAAATGTGGTATAACAATACAACAGAATATGATTCAGCCAGGAAAAGAAGTACTGATACATGCTACAACATGGATGAAACTTGAAATCTTGAAAACATTATAGGAAGTTAAAGAAGCCAGTCACAAAAGCTGTGTATGGTATAATTCTATTGATAGAAAAAGTCCAGAATTGGCAAATCCATGGAAACAGAAAGTAGATTACTGTTGTCAAGGGCTGAAGGGTTTGGGAGACAGGGAATGACTGCTAATGAGTTTCTTTCTGAGGTGATGAAAATGTTCTAGCTAGAATTAAATTATGGTGATGAACGCACAACTGAATCTACTAAAAACCAATGAATTACACACTTTAAAAGGGAAAATTTTATGGCATATAAATTATTTCAATAAAGTTATTTAAAAGCTAATGTTAGTATTAATAAGCTACTGAATGCTGAACATTACTGGTGTCAACTATCGTGCTAAGGATCTTATACATACATGTTTTACTTCCTTTTTTTTTTCCATTTATTTTTATTAGTTGGAGGCTAATTACTTTACAACATTGCAGTGGTTTTTGTCATACATTGAAATGAATTAGCCATGGATTTACATGTATTCCCCATCCCGGTCCCCCCTCCCACCTCCCTCTCCACCC